TTGTGGAATTGTTCCTACATAGAAACTCGATAAATAAAAAAAAAATTGGTCTGAATTAGCAACTCTTCAGAAAACGGTTAACTTTTTAACCTTGCTATACAAAATTATAGCCATGTTTGAGAAAAAGGGAATAAAATTTATCCTTTACTTCTACTACACATCAAATGTACTCATTTCACTTGGACAATGACTATGTAAATATTACAGCAAGATATGATCAATTACAAATTTCATAAAAACCTCTTATCATTGGCAGGTGATCCACGACCCCACCACACACACTGCTGTGGCCATAGTCGAAGTGAATGATGTCAGAGGTAAGGGAACTTCTGACTCTTGGAGCCTACTTGAACCTCCTTGCCCTGATGTATGCCATCAGCTACCATGGATTGATTGGGACACTTCTAACTTTAGATATGGTAGGACTTTCTGCTGTAGTGTGGATTCCCTTAAAACAACCATTGCTGAACTCCCATCACTTGGTTATGTCAGTCTTCTTCAACAATAGTTACTTGGGCTGAAAAGCAGTGGCATATATTGCTACTGCCCTCAACTCTCTGAACCCAATGAAACCAGTTCACGAGGACATAAGTACTGTACTTAGAAACTAATTCAAGCCCATAGTCATGGGGGTAAGCCTGCAACAGAACAGATTTCTGCCAGAGTAATGTAATAATATTGGCCAAAAAATAAGTCCTACAGATGGCCTCAAAAAGTTTCTGAAATTGGCCTAATTTCAAAATTTTCTCTGGGGGCTATGCTCACTCCTTGCTTACTCTGCTTCAAGTCTTGCCCCCATTGACCCTTTCCACAAACTTATATAGTACACCACTGCTGAGTAGTGCTAATGCTCATCTTAGTGTTAAATGTTACCACTTCCTATTATACATTATATTTAATCTTTCTTGTCAAGGCTGAGTAGAGGGATGCAAATTTGTCTGTAAGCTTGTAAGGTTAACACATCCACCAGCTTTTGAAGGAAATTCACACCACTTGGTACAAATGGTATATGTGCATATGCTAAAATAATTCTGCTGTGACAAATCTGTATGTGTCCAGCCCACTGTTGTTCCTCTGTCTGCCCCAACTGAGGGAATATAGTTTGTGTAATCAACTCATGCAATTTTCAGTGGATTGAACTAAAACTTTGCTTATTTGTTATATGGATATTGTAGATAGATAATAATTCTCAGAAGTTACCACAATTAGAACTTCATTTTTTCATCAGCAGTGCCAAGTGCAGTAATTATTTTCTGGTGTCAGTTTCACTTACAGTTGTCAACGACTCGTGCCATTTTGACTTTCATAGTTTAATTTTTACAATAGTTGCCATGTTTTAAATTTTGAATTGTGGCATCACTTATTAGTTGTGATAAGTGTGCCTTGCCTGTTACTGTACAGTATTTGGATATTTTGTGAAAGATTCAAACTAGTGGTGTGATTATACTATACGTACAGGTGTTGACCGCTATACGATGGATCCAAATACATACTGTACTGTACGGTCGACAGTTGAACGATGTTAAAAAAATAACACCATTTACTTCTATGCAATGACTAAGATCAATTTTACAATTATTGCTATGCAAATGCTTTTCCTACATTGTCACTGCTATGAAAAAGTGATGTGCACTAACTAGCAATATTCCAAGATATGATGATGTAACCTCGGAATGACGTAACACGTGCTACCCACATGGGATGCACGGGAGGCTCTGCACGTCCCCAGTGACATATAAACTCTTCAGGGCTTTCAGCAGTTGACAATGATGCAAAAAATGATAGTATGAGCAAAACCTTTGTACTGTACTGTACTGTACAATATACAGTAACTAATATTTAAGGTTACTTTAATGATGATGATTTAACCTACAGATAACTGAGTCTATTGTATAAAGAAAATACTAAAGCAGTGAGTCCCTGTGTTGGTGTTTTAATATAAATTTAATGGATTCAGGTTAATGATACAGTGCAGTACAGGTAAAAGTGATAACCTCTACAGTCTACCATTAAATACTAATAACCAGTATCTTTACTCAAGCTATAGCTATGGTAAGTGCACTAGGTACAGGCATGCATAAAAACACACATACCATACATATAAACATACATAAGGTACATGCAAGAGATCATGTACAGTAAATCACCATAATGCTTGTGAGGAGAGGGACGACCAAACTGGTGGTAAAGAAACACACCAAGGATACGACATCAACGACAACAACAGCTAAGTGTACCAACTCGCTCAGTCCCTTGATAGACGAATTGGACGTTAGTACAGTCAGGGACAGGGCTGACAAGGAAGGCATAAAAACTTTAATTGTTGGTGACTCACAGGTAAGGTACTTGGACAGAGCCTTTTGTGGTAAAAATATGAACAGGATGAGGGTGTGTTTGCCAGGAGCTGGGGTGGGTGATATAGTTGACAGGATGGACAATATCTTGTCTGGTAATGGGAACAAACCCATTATCTGCCTCAGTGCAGAAGGCAACGATATTGGCCGGTGTAGGAGTGAAGAGCTTCTTGATAAGTTCAAAACAGCTACAGATCGTATTAGGACTAATGGAGGGATCCCTATCATATGTGGTGTCCTGCCTAGAAGGAGAGTTAGCAATGAATGGTTGTCAAGGGCAGTTGGTGTCAACGGCCGTCTTGACGGATATTGCAAGTCAATATCAGTCCCATTCATTGACAACTGGGACAACTTCTACGGCAGAAGGGACCTTTATGCTAGGGATGGGGTGCACCTATCTCGGGAGGGGGTGGCAACCCTGCCTGGGTCTCTAGAGGGGGCAGTTCAAAAGATATCGAAGTCTTTAAACTGCTGGGGGAACATGAGGGCACGGGGGTGGAGGAGACTGCATTGGGAGCGGGTAAACAAAGTGAAAGATTACAGAGAAATAGTGTTAGGAATGACAACAAAACGAAAGCAGACAGGGAGTTTAAACCTAAACGCGGTAAAGGGAGGACTCAGAACACGACTAACTTAAATGTCTACTACGCGAACAGTAGAAGTATGAGAAACAAAATGGATGATATTAAGGTCTTGGTATGTACCGAAAAAATCGATATAATAGCATTCACTGAAACATGGATAGACCAAGACTCACGTGAGTTACCTGTCGAATACTAAATTGCGGATTACAAATTGTTTCATACCGATAGGCCGTCCAGGAAAGGAGGCGGAGTAGCAATCTATGTCAGGGATAATCTGAAGTGTGAAATAAATAAGGAAATAAAAACTGAGTGGAATACCGAAACAATTTGGATAGAATTAATCGATGGTAGGGAAAAATTAATCATAGGAGTAATATATAGACCTCCCACTCTTGATAGAGTTAATGAGCGACTTATCTGGGATGAAATGCGCAGGGCTTCCACACACAACAAAGTCTGTATAGTAGGCGATTTTAACCTTGGCCAAATAGATTGGACTGACCTTACGGGTAACTCAGTATCAGAGGATTTCCTCAAAACGATCCAGGACTGTTTCCTAAGTCAACATATAACCGAACCCATCCAGGATCTAGTTCTGTCGAACAGAGAAAACCTCATTAGCAATGTCGAGGTAGGGAACAAACTTGCAAACAGAGATCACAAAGAAATTAGATTCCAGTTAGATTTTTAGGTCAGACATAAGGAGAATTCCATTAAAGTCCCAGATTTCAGAAGGGCAAACTTTGATAGTTTAAAGAAGCAGCTAAGAGAGGGGGTGTCGCGCTTGGGCGTGAACCTGACAGATGACACTGACCTGATAACGAGATCTGAGATTGCCGAGTTCCACGACAATTTAAATAATGAGTTACTTAATGCACAAAGGCAAAACATACCATACAAAAAACTCAGATCAGACAACAATGACCCTAAATGGATAAATAATTATTTAAAAAACATTATTGGCCAAAGGAAGGCTATAGGTAGAAGGATATATCGTGGTGAAATTTACCTCCGGGAGTATTATAAGGTATTGGCCGGCAGGGTTAAGACCGAGATAAGAAAAGCAAAGAGAAATAATGAACTGAAGAAAGCAAGGGAGGCGAAGACAAACCCCAAAGGATTCTACCAAATGTATGAAACTATAACAAAAGATAAGATTGGACCAATACGTTCATATACCGGCGAGCTAACTGATAACGACAGAGAAATGAGCAATACAGTGATCCCTCGGTTAATGAGCGCCTCGGTTAACGAGATTTCGGTTAACGATTTACCTTCCATAAGATTCTTAACGTCGGTTAACGAGCAATCCCTTGATTAACGAGTTTTTTACGAGCCGACTTCAACATGTTTTCGCTTGCATTTGGCGGTCCACCAGCTGTAGTATTAGTCCGCCAATACAGTAATTGGTTTTAGGGCTTAAATTCCTTACTATTTTAGTAAATATCAAGAAGTTTATACTATTCAATAATTTTAAAAGTTTAATATTAACATTTTTAGTCATTTTAACAATTATTGAACATAATTGAAGGTAAAGAAACTAGTTTCTGGCGTGCCATCCAGCCTGTTAACACACCAGACAGGCGTTAGTCTCTCTCTGTTTTCAGTGGAGGTAACATTTTGCTTGAGACTCTCTTCAACTAAATGCTTTTTTTCTGTGTTTCCAAGCAAATTATTGGTAATTTTGAAATTTATTTTACATATTGACAATATATAATGCAGTGCAGTGTTGATATAAAGAAAATAATCTTGAATTACACCAAGAGAACTAAAATTATATGGGTGAAATGGTGCCATGGGGTGACTTCTCTTCCACCCCAAAGCCTTCTCTTCTTCCTTCTCCTCCACCCCCATTCTAATTCCCATCATCATCATCATCATCCAGGAGCCTTCTACATACACACCTCACAGTAAGTGAACTTTTCTACCTTTTTTGTTGAATTTAGGCAATTTTCGGTGAGCTGGAACCAATTACCCAAAAACCCATTGAAACAATGGTTTCGGTTAACGAGTTTTTCGGTTAACGAACAACCTGCTGGAACGGATTGTGCTCGTTAACCGAGGGACCACTGTAATCTGAATAAATATTTTTCAACAGTTTTCACCACCGAAAATTTAAACATGATACCCGAGGCACCGACTCTATTCAGAGATAGTGAAGAAAACAAATTAAGGGAGATAGTAGTGACTAGTAACGATGTTAATAAGCAAATAGACAAACTGAAGCCTAATAAGTCACCTGGTCCCGATGAGATATTTGCCAGAGTATTAAAGGACTGTAAGGAAGAGCTTAGTATGCCCTTGGCAAAGTTGTTTAACATGTCATTAAAAACAGGTGTAGTACCAGAATCCTGGATGATAGCAAATGTAATACCGATTTTCAAGAAGGGGGATAGATCACTATCCTCTAACTACTGCCCAATCAGTCTAACATCAATAGTAGGCAAATTACTAGAATCAATCATTTCAAACTCTATTCGAAACCACCTGGAGAAGCACAAGTTGATCAATGATTCCCAACATGGCTTCACAAGCGGGCGTTCATGTCTAACTAATCTATTAACATTCTTTTCATCAGTTTTCGAATCGGTGGACAAGGGGCACAATTATGATGTGGTATATCTCGACTTCAGCAAAGCCTTTGACAGAGTCCCCCCGAAAGACTAATTAGAAAGGTGGAAGTGCATGGCATCGAAGGTAATATCCTTAAATGGATTGGGCGTGGTTACGGGACAGGAAACGGCGAGTGAGCATAAACGGCACTAAATCGCATTGGAGCAACGTCACTAGTGGAGTACCCCAAGGCTCAGTACTCGGACCATAGATATCGGCATAGACAGCAACATAAGTAAATTTGCTGATGACACTAAAATAGGACGTGTAATTAAATCTGACGAGGACTCTGCAAAACTACAGGAAGATCTAAACAAATTTTTCGAATGGTTGGAAAAATGGCAGATGAAATTCCATGTGGACAAATGTAAAGTACTCAGTATAGGAGATGTAAACAGGGAAACCAGTTACCAGATGAACAATGATGCCATTGTGGAATCCTACTGCGAGAGAGATTTAGGAGTAATGATAAGTAGGAATCTTAAGCCAAGTAAACAATGTGTTTTTGCTCGTAACAAGGCTAATAAAGTACTTGGGTTCATACAAAGGAGTGTTAGTTACAAGACTAGCGAGGTCATCTTAAAATTATATCTAGCGCTTGTGAGACCTCACCTGGATTACGCAGTTCAGTTCTGGTCACCGTATTACAGCATGGATATAGAATCCTTGGAAAGAATCCAGAGGAGAATACAAGACTAATCCCAGGCATTAGGAACCTTGAGTACAGAGACAGGTTAAAGCATTTTAATTTGCACTCCCTCAAAAGACGTAGAGTGAGGGGCGACATGATAGAGGTGTATAAATGGAAGTCAGGGTTAAACAAAGGTGACATTACAAAGGTACTCAAACTATCTAACCAGGAGCGAACTCGTAACAATGGTTTTAAATTAGACAAATTTAGATTTTGGCGCGAAATAGGTAAACACTGGTTTGAAAACAGAGTAGTGGATGAATGGAACAAGTTACCAAATATCATCATTAACTCGAAAACGCTGGATAGCTTCAAACATAGGTTGGATGCTTATATGAGCAATAGGGGTTGGGTATAAACTGGACTGCCCAGTATAGGTCAATAGGCCCGCTGCAGTTTCCTCCATTCTTATGTTCTTATGTAAAGTCACCTGGCCTGTTTACCCATTAATTTTAGCTCGCATAAAAAGCTTAGATTACTTGATCATATTCTTCCCGTTGCTACAATAATCTTGTTTATTTTATTCTTGTAAACATATGCACTGCTGTACATACTCAAGAGGAAAGCTACAGTACTGTATTACCTTCATTCTCTAGATTGGATTACCGTATATCTCGGCCTACAAGGCGACGATGTGTATAAGACGACTCCAAAAGTGTCCTTTTAAAAAGTAGGTTTTTGAGCTCTATTTGCTGTATAAAACTACCCCAAATGTGACACTTACCATTGGGAGCTTACTGACCCAGTAGTCCTTTACCAACCATCCCATTGACCAGTGCAGTTTACACATCCTTGTTTTTTTTAAAATGAGGCCAATTCACTTCAAGTAATGTCATCAAATGTTACCGGCTGGTGTAGTGTAAACACTAGTGACGTCACTTAAGTGTCTGTTATTTAACTGGAACTAATGTCGGTGTCGAGTAAAATTTTTCCATTTACTTGAAATGCATTTACCGATTTATTTGTTTGTTTATTTATTTATAATATACTGTAATATATTAAACACACTGCAAGTATTTTCTTTAATTTATAAATTTGTTTCGCGGCAAAGGGAGGCTACCATTATACCTGGTAGGTGAAGTTGACCTGATACATTTATGGTGATCATTAAGGATCAAACTCCGAATCAGATGACCTGACTTCGTCTTCATCATTCTCATCCTAAATTTACCACTGTCGGTAGTTTCAAGAATTAACGCAGTCATTTACTGAATATTCTTTGTAAAAAAATTAATTTTAAATGAATTATTTATAGGAGATAAGTATTATGATCAGTAAGTATACCGATATGCATTACTGACCACCTCGGACACAAAGACGGCTAAAAATAGCCCTATCTCACCCTTCTTACAGCTGGTCACTTTCCCTTTCTTGTTTCGTCACTACCAAATGGTGGGGGGTGCGTGATGATAGCTGTGTTTATCGGGGTATATTGTTCTTTTACGGTATGTTAGACAGGTTTATAATACATTTTTATTATTTTAATATACCGGTAATCTTATTTTTAATCCAGCTTCCCAAACGTAAGTTTCAGTATAAAATAATTAGTGGTAGGACCTTGTGAGTGGTTTACGATGTTCTCCATCACCACTCTTGACACGCTAAACCACAATATTTAAGAGGTAAGAATTTTATACCCGTTACTTGAGACGACCCCTAATTTTGGGCTGATTTTTTTAAGGTTTAAATTCCGTCTTATAGGCCGAGATATACGGTAATGAAGATGAATTGCAGGTGAAAATGGAATGAGTACTGAAAATGCATATGCTCTTTTGGATCAACTTTGAAACAATAAAACGTATTTAGGACATTGATTAACAGTCCTACTTTGAGTGATATGTTTAAATGATTGTTTTGTTTTTTATTTAGTATAGCTTTAATATAGCTACTGCATATCTTATTAACTGTACTACATGTTCCTTGCCAGATGATAGTAAATGTTACATAATATTTCCTTGAGATAAATGTATAGTATATATTATCAGGTACCTAAAAGAGAGCTCAGGTTCTCAACTGGCTCAGCCATGTTAATATTGTTTTTATTATCCACTCTGTATCTGTGTTTTTCTGGCTAAATAAACTGTTTCAATTCAATTCAGTAATGCAAAGACTGATGGAGATAGTGTAGTGCCACACATTTCAATCACTTATAGTAACTCTTAACTTAATTAATGTCGATTGTGTTATAAAAAATCATCTGTACATTATTTCCCATATTTTATTATTCAATTTGTATTTAACCAAATAACTAAGTCTCTGAGGAATTTCTGCATTTAGGTACAATAAATGTACCTACAGTATCATAAAATATATATATATGGTACATACATCCCATATTTAAGGATACTATATTCTTCTTATAGAAACCTTGAATTAAAAACACTCCCACCTAATTTTTAATTACAGTAAACCCCAACTTAAGGGGAAGGGGTCCAGATTTTGCAAATTTTCAAGTTTCTTGAGGCACAAAATAAAACCACTTACATTCTTTCTAACAATGCATTTACAGTTATTTTATGGTTATCTTCAGTACTGGTACATTCAAGTTCTAATAAATGTGAAAATCAAATACACTAACACAATATTAACACTCCAGGGTTAAGGTAGGCACTCTCCCGCAAGACAGTAGGGGTCTGGCCTGTTACTCGCCACACTTGACTTGACCACACCACACAAGAGATAATTGTACATAATGAGTCATAGCAAGCTTGCTATTTGAGATAAAAAGGTAGGGTTGGTTGCATTAGCATTGTAAATAAATTATCTACAAAAGGATTTATGTGTAGTCAGGATAAAATAATTATTTCTAAACATAAGCGTGAGCAGAAGGCAGCAGGAGGCACCACACTATCGCCCCGTGGTGCAATCTCCTTGCAATTTCTACGTTTCCACCCCTCCACCCTCTCTAGCAACACGAGGCATGATTCAAAACTCTAAAACTCGCACAACATTGTTATTAAATTAAATCACTGTGATGAACAAGAAATCAGCACAAGCCGCAAGAAAATGTGTGGGGAATGTGGGTCATCACTGAAATACAACCTTTATGTAGACTGTCCTCCAAGGAGGGAAGTCTACATAGTTGTCAGATCGCGCTGAAATAGTCAAATGTGCGTCTTTTAATTTAGCATTCATACATACTGTACCTTAAACATAATTTTCTTTATTTTAATCTTTGACTTCATACGCAAATTTTTGTATAAAAACCATAAATCGATAATTTATATCATTAGCAATTTTGAATATGAAAACCCCAAGAGTGTTAACAGATGATAAAAAATTTTTTACGAGCTAACAACCCCTATCTATTGCCAGTGTTGGGAATAAAGGGCTGGCGATATGGATTTTGTGTGTCTGATGTCTTAGGGAGAGATAGATAGCATCTTTAAAATCAAGTAGGGTAGGTACTATGTATTATTCCCAGTTTATCAGCAATGCTTGTGTGCTTAAGCGTTTAATTTGGCCTTGCACTACCCCTTGCCCTTGCCATACGATGGAGAATATAAGACAGAAATAGCATTAAAGTACTGTACTCAATCTCTAAGGAGTGGTGTGGATGTGAAATGTCAGTTAACACAGGACTAGGTGTATGACTTCCACCTGGAGTGAGCCACAAATACCAGTGCTATTGATGAATGGCAACTGAGGGGAACAATCACGATTTGTTTTGTTGTGTTATACAGTCATCTAATATCAGATGATCTTTGTGGGTAAAGTCTGAATGGAACATGTGGTGCTGACATGAACTGATTCTATTTACCAATTACACTTTGTAAATTAGACGATCTCCAACCAATTACATTTCAGGACGCTATCATCCTCCCAAATTCTGAAATAAATATGTTAGGCCTCACCATTTCCTCCAGTATGTCCTGGAAATCACACATCCTTAGTATAACTAAAGCTGCCTCCCGAAAGTTGGGAATGCTGTACAGATGCCACAGCTACTTCACTCCTGAGCAGTTGCTCCAAGTATATAAGGGATTCATTCGTCCTAACTTGGAGTACTGCTCTCATATCTGGGGTGGCTCTTCTTCTGTCCAACTATTAGATAGGGTGGAATCAAAGGCATTTCATCTTATTAACTCTCCTCCTTTAGTCGACAATCTTTCTTCCCTTTCTCTTCGCTGCAATGTTGCTTCACTCTCTCTCATTTACAGGTACTTTAACAGGCAATGTTCAGTGGACTTGGCATCCTGTGTACCGCCAGCAAGGCCGTACCGGTAGGTTCGTAACACACGTCTTGCCCACGGTGCCCACCGTTTCTCCGTGGATGTCGGTCACACGAGAATAACCCGTTATAGTACCTCCTTCTTTCCTCACACAGCCAAACTGTGGAATGCTCTGCCTTCTTCTGTGTTTCCATCAGGGCTGTGGAGTCGAAGACAAAACCTTCGACTCCGACTCCGACTCCGACTCCTCAAATTTTTATGCTTCCGACTCCGACTCCTTGGCCTATTTGTAACAACTATTTCTACCATCCTAATTGTAATTTGTATGTTGTAACCTGCATAGGTAAAAAGTAAAACACCGTGGCTATACTGCTACAGCTTTATTAATGATCTGGACGATATTTAAGAACTACAAAAAGATGATAGGCTTGACTTTCAAAGTTTCAATCAAAAGAAAAATAAATTTATTAAGAATTCAAGATATTAACTAGAAAACACCATTTACATGTATATCTAAAAGTTTGATCTCAGCATATGAATTTTGTTTAAGCTCATAATCTGATGTGGATCTAAATGATGATCCTACAATTCCTTTTAAAGTAAAGTTATATATTTATGTACATTAAAGAAATGAATACCTTATTAAGGAAAATGGATAAACCTTACATGATTAAGTTATTAAATTAAATTTGCCTTAATCTCACCAAAAACAGGTTGTAGCTAATTGTTTTGTAGCTGAGAGCCTCTGTGCAGTTTTCAACGAAACAAAATTTGATATAATTCAAAATTTCAAATGGTAAAGAAGAGACTATCGTCCAAAATTATAGTGCTATACTGTGCCTGCTACAATAAATTCATAATAATGCTTATAAAATGGAAATAAATTCTTTTAATAATTTAAGAAAATTAGTGGGATCAGTGGAATCACTGCAATGAATATGCCTGAGTTCATATATTTGTTCTTAGGAACAGAATAGCTTCAGTCGGAGTCGGAGTCTGGACAATTTTACCGACTCCGACTCCACAAGCCGAAATTTCCTCCGACTCCTCGACTCCGACTCCGACTCCACTGCCCTGGTTTCCATGCTCTTACAATCTGTCTCACTTTAAAAAGCTGGTTTTCCAGCATCTTCGTGGTGTAGATTAATACAGTATAACCTTTTTTCTATATTTACAATTTCTTTCCGTTCTTTTTTTTTTCGCCCCCCAGGCTCCATTGTGGGTCGTTTGACATGGGCCGGGGTTAATTCCCGTATAAAAAAAAAAAAAATTAAGAGAACAGACTAATTGTGCAAAAAAACTCAGAATATTTACAAAATTTGCAATTTTTCCCACAAAGGTAAGGATGGGCCAGATTTTTTATTAAGTGAAGTTCACTTTAGCCGGGGTTTATTGTATACATTACTATATTTGTCTATCTTAGAGGTTTGCATGTAGCACCATTAACTGCAAACCACTTCTTGGAAGGAAATGTTAACCAGACACAAAATAAAACTATGTTTTCCTTGAAGTATCAACTGGCTTTCTTATTTAACTATTTATACAATGGAATAGATCAATTGATAGATTAACTGATTTATGGATTTTAGGCTCAAAGCCAAGCTCTGGAGCCAATGAAATTGAGTACAATCAATTATTTGGGCTAAGAATGAATACAGCTTCAGTCATTGATTTCAAGTTCCAATTTGCAATTCGCTCATCTTCTTCAGGCCACTTGACAGACTCCAGTAACTCTATCTTGCACATATCACCTGAAAAATAAGAAGCAAAACCTTGTCCAATTCAAATTCTTAATATCCTAATACTGATATAAAAAAGATTAATGAATTGTATTCAAAAGGATACCCAAATAACACACAACTTCACAATGAAAAAATTCATCATGTATTGTACTGCAGTCAATCAGAAATAAATCAGACTGACACTGAAATCCTTTATTATAAATGGCCTGGAATGGGAGTTCTGTATAGTCAGCAAATCTATGGGTTGAAAATCAAGCTCTTATGGATCCAAATTGTAATTGGAACTTAAGTAATTAAAATAATAATAATAATAATAATAATAATAATAATAATAAAAAGAATATCCCTCGCATCACATTCTACTAAAAGAGACATGAGTGTGCTTCTTGATTCTCTACTGTTTGGCTCCGTTATGAACTGGACCAACTTCAGTTTTCCAGTTCCTTTTGAAAATAGGAAAGCGAAAAGTACCAAAAAAATCTGCTCTCATTTATAAAAGACAATTTGTATTTCTGGTTATTCGTTAGTCTGTCAGTTTGGGTGCAGCCACACTAGTGTACATTTTGCCCAAACGTGATCGACAAGAAGAAACGAAACACGGGGTTCTGACAGTTAGAACCTTGTGCTTCACTCCCTCTTGTTGATCCCATGTTTTGGGCAAAATGTATGCTTGTGAAGCTGTACTGTTTGCCATGCATAACTACAGTTTTGAAGATTAAGACCTGAGATTAGAAATGGAGATGTACAGTCAGCAAAAAAGTGTTCTGCACCCCTTGGTCTGATATCACTGACTGAGGCCATGTTAATTTGGTAAGGTTGGTATTTCTGGTTGTGTGATGCATTGTATAACCAGTATGATGTATTTTTTATAGCATATATAGTTAATATAGAGAAATTAACAGGAATCACCCATGTAAATGAGTGTTGTTCAGAATTCTTGGTGCATAAATTTTTTTTTGTTGACTGTACATTCACCTGAGATGTGTATGGACAGGCTGCCATTGATAAAACTATCATTGTAATACAGATTAACTTAATATCAATCTCGTGTCCATGTCCCTTGCTGTATCCACATGAGGTTATAGACATACTGTCACCAACTACATTATGAATTAAAAATATGCAAAATGAGATTAGTATATGTGTGTGTGTGTGTGTGTGTGTGTGTGTGTGTGTGTGTGTGTGTGCTCTCTCTTGCCAATAACGACTTCCACAATAACGTTTCGACAATAACGCTAAGTTACAATAGATACCCATTTTCGATAATAAAGTCTGGATTCTCTTGAATAACGGAGATTTCGCAGGAAGCATCCGAGCGCATCAAAGATAGCGTTTGCTTGCTGCCATGTTGATGACGTAGTTGTCCGTTCTGCCCCACTCTCACACGCTCCGTGGAATACAGTGCTGTGCCCACGTGTGAAATTTTCGCCTCTATAACCAGTGGTTGCTAGGGTTGGTGGTCAATAATGGCTTCCATGTTTTTGCCTGTGGGAGCTAGGGGAGGTGGTGGAGGGAGTGATTTGCTGCGTGAATGCCCGGGAACTTTTAAAGTGAATGAGAAAAAAGACCCCAAAGCTAAGAGACAAAGCCACAAGAAGCATGCCTACTCATGCCTACCAAGAAGAGTATTGCTCTGGCTCAGAAATATTTCGGTAGTGGTAGAAATGAGAGGTGAGCTATGAATGATAAAAGTGATAGAAACAGGTTGTTAGTGATAACAGAGCATTTTCTTGTGAAATGGTTAGCTTGTAGAATGAAAGACAGTGCAAGTGTTAGCGGCCCTCAGATACGAGATCAAGCAAGGGTATTGTACGCTGCTGTAACTCGAAAGAAAAACATTACGTTTCCCCCTCCTTTCAATGCCTTAGGATGGCTGCATAAGTTTAAAGCTAGAAGTGGCACAAAGTATGCAAAGTATCAGGGTGAGGCTTCATCTGCTGACTTAGTGGCTGCAGATTGCTTCCCTGAAATTGCCAATCAAATCATTCAAGAGGGAGGTTATACCCTGGATCAGATTTTTAACTGTGATAAGAGCGGAATGTTTTGGAAAAAAATCCCCTAAAGCAACATTTATCTCTAAGAAAGAAAAACAGGCAAAAGGTGTGAAAATGGCAAAGGATCGCTTTAGTGTCCTAACCTGTAATGCTTCAGGTGACTACCTCATGAAGCCTCTGGTGATCTACAAATATAAAAGACCAAGGGATGTGATATATCCAAACTGAATGTCTACTGGGAAAAGACAAATAAAGGCTTCATGTCCACACAGTTATCAAAGAAGTGGTTTGATGATTGTTTTGTTAAGGATGCCAAAGAATACTGCCGGAAGAAGAATGTAGCCTTCAAAGTGGTGCTCTTTCTAGACAATGCCCCCAGTCATGCACGATTTCTAGTAAGACATCACCCTAGACCAAGAAATCATAGCGAATGTAAAGTTGCTGTACTACAAATATGTCCATGACAAGATGAGGAAGGAAACTGATAAGCAAGAAGTGAAGGAAATTGCTGAAACTGTGAGCAGTAGCGAGGAGGAGGAGGAGGATCCTCCCCTCCCTCCCTTCGCTGCCTCCGCTGCTCTGCCTGGCTCATCCACAGCCTCCGCCTCCACTCTTCCACCTGGCTCACCTGCTACCCCCGCCACCCCTGCTCCACCTGGCGTACCTGCAACCTCCACAATGACTGTTACTGCCTTCTGGAAAAATTATAACATTCGCTAGGCAATCAATATCTTTGTAAAAGCCTGGGGAAATACTACAAAAGCAACCGTTAGGCATGCCTGGTCGGCACTCCTGCCACAACTCAAGTCTGCCGAGACGAAGAGACAGCAGAGTTAATGAACCAAGTGTTGGAAACCGTCCGCAGTATCCCAGCCCCAGGATTTCAAGAAGTGACTCGGGAAGATTTAGAAGAACTGATGCAAGATGGTAACACAAATGACGTCGAGGATCTCCTGGAGGATGAAGAAGGTTGTGAGAGTGGTGATGCAGAGAGTGATGCAGGGGAGACTGAGCAGAGAAAAGCGACGACACAGAAGCTGTCACTCTTATTGGGTACCTGTACCAGCCTTCAAGAGATGATCTAAGACATTGAGAGTGACTCAGGTGAAAGGGAGCAAATGATTGGATTTGTAGAATCTATTTCTAGAAAATAAAAGAAGCAGTACAACAAGTGAGTGAATGCCCGGCAGCAGTCACTCATCACTCTCTTTCTTTCACAACGCCGGCCAGCCGAGGAAGACCAACAGAGAGAGGTTGAAGTTGATGAAGACATTGATGACATTGGGGAAATGCCTGAAGATTTTGACTTTGTGGGGTTTGATAAAGTGTTAGCGGAAGTGGGTGAACCAGGTGCGGGAGGCCAGCGTGGGGACGGAGATGGGGCCAGGGAAGTGGGCGGAGGTTCGATGCAGTAGCCTCCATGCCCCAGCCTCGGAACAATCATCACACCAAGCACCTCAAAAACTCAACCAAGCTCAGTGTTATATTACTCAAATTCTTTATTTTGATGATTGAATAACAATTCTTTTTATTTCAGCTAACAAAAGGAGTTAGGAGGGCTTCAAAGGGGAAAAAATGGGTGAAATTCTTGGGGCAGCAGCACCAATGAACCCATTTTACATGTATTTTACTGTCACACAAATAACGTTTTCGCTAATAACGGCGTTTTTCAGGCACCAATTAGACGTTATTGGCGAGAACCTACTGTATATCTGTGTATATATATATATAAAATTTAATACTGAATAAATTTAGACATACCAAAAAACTGTTCAATCAGTTCCCTTGGTACATTTCTAGGAGGTCCACTGAAGAATTCATCTGGTGTATACTGTGTAACATTGAGCAAGTAGCGAAAGTCCGGTGCCAGAAGAGATTTCATAATCTGTACATAGCTGCAATGTTAAATACAATATATAATTCATTTGCCATTAATTTTTTATTCCTGAATCCCTGTGTACAAAACCGGACTTCAGTGCAAGTCTCCTTGGATCATCCGGTACCCTACATGACTCCCTTTAAATTCATGATTCTTTAGTTCAGTACTGCATACTATAGTTCACATTAAGTATCTGTTTTGTTGGCTACAACGTTAATTCCATTTTGTTAAGTCTGTCTCTTGCAAAGGATATGAATGACTTACACTTGCCAAGACTTTCATAAACAAAGCCACCCATTGACTGTGAGGTGTGCACTAATATTTGACAGCATGGGACATTTTTCTAAAGAACAAGGTACAGTATTGCTGTATGAAGTGAATGTATTGCAGCCTTCCCAACCTGTTGAATCCATAAGAAAATGGCAGTTGTCTCAAGGATCAGTAGGGCTACCCAGGTGAGGGTTAATGAGAGGAGCTTCTAACACTCACAATCTCTCTTATCACATGATTACTTCAACTCACAGTTCTCTGCTGTTACAAAGATTGTCAAGACAGCCCAATATCTAGCAATATCTAGATAAAGGTCTTCCTTATGCTTAAAGAGATTTGTCAATTGCTATGACAGTTCTTGAATAAGCTTCATATTTGACTGTCTGATGTGAACTTGTATACATTCACCAATCAAATTTGAGTTTAATTTTGTTCTCGGTTCAATCCCTGGCCTGGGTCAGATGTGAGATGGGTGTTATCCAGTGTGACTGCCAAACATGGCAGGTTATCTGATTTCCTATTGTACTAAAACTGGACACTGAAGGTCATAGTAAAATAACAGAACAGACCAACTGCTTGAATGTGCAGTAAGTTGATAAAAGGTAAAAGTGAAAGTTGGTCCCATAGGCATGACTGCCCATTAGGGATACTGTGGAAACAGGTCACTGCATACTAAGCCATCAGTGCACAAGGAGGCAGCATGGCCGGTAGTGCACATGACTGCATTCATTTCCCCAAGTTGTAAACTTAAGAATCCATTTAATGCTGGTTGAAACTGGGAGCACTTAATAATTGAACCACTAACCCCCTGGTACAGGAGGCGAGCACTGCATCTGCCCAAACACTGTGCTCCATTGATAAAAGGTTAATACTGGCCTGTCTTTCACTGAGGTCTAGAATTCACATAGGTTTGGCAAAAAAGTTGAGGAAAGTACTTTTTAAAGAGAGGGAGGGAAACTAAATGCATATACTGTACATGTAAGATATATATATCATCAACCATTTCAATTATAATGCTAAAAAGATAATACAATACAACATTATTCCAGTGAAATATGGAAAAATAAGAATACCGTAATATTGTGTATTATTAGAACCAAAACAAAATTTTAAAAAGATCACCATTCTCTGTCTTCTTCATATATGGCAACAAGTGAACCTCTGTCCCACACAGCATCAAACTTGCCTAAGGCTGCTACATCCACTTTCATCATGTCACTGCAGTATATACTAAGTCTGTCATCTTTTGTCTGTTAAAGAAACACAATACAGGATTGTAATTTTACAATATATTGATGTGAAAGATATGTACAATATCTTTTAACAACTTTAAAATCAAGTTAAACATATTAACCCATTACTAACTTTTCTGAACCCATTTTCCTTAAGTTACCTAAAACCATAGAACAGTTTATAGATTTGTTTAAATTACTGTAAACAACATTGTTTTGAAGAGAAATACTACTGTATACCGGTACAGCACTTGCTCCCTTTTTAGGTACTGTACAACATTACACGCACCACCGTGCTCAAGCAACGTTCAAGCATCCTACCTTTTGTTATATTTTATGACTTAGGAAACCTTGTGAAAGAACTGAACTGTATCACTGCCAACAAGCACCTGAGAGGGAGATCCTGCCACTGTCTTCAAAATGTGTAGCTACCTGTTCTTCTTGACAGCAGGGAGCATTACTGTACTCTCAGTGGTTCCCAAACTGGGGGGCGTGCCCCCCTTGGGGGGTGTGAGGTGGGTACTGGGGAGGCGTGAAGCCATCTGCCAAAATTTTAAATCTTTTTCTCAAAAAGAATATAATGAAGAAACTCTTTCAGGAGTAACTCTCTCTTCGGTTGAATATTCCACACATCCGTGCAAAACCAAAGTATAGCAGTCACCCCTATCCGTTTTCTATCATTTCATCTCTCTCTCCTTACAATCTTGTACAATCAAAGACAAAAGTCGTGTCGCGGTTTTGTCCGAAGATTAAATATAACTCGTGAAACATTATGAGAGCCCCCTGCCACAAGGCAGAGCGCACAAAAAGTTTAGCTCTTCGGCATATGTTTTCACCAAATTTCACGACACGACTTTTGTCTTTCCTTGTACATGTCGTGGATACCATACTGACTCTCACACTACAGTACTCGTATCTTTCACAACACTACCAGCCACCGATCCTCCCTCATCTTCAGTTACGGTATGTTAAGATTTATCTCAAACTGTGTGTTTTAGTCTGGATTTCTTCTCTTTTAATGATTTTTAATTAATTTTGCTTATAACTATGGTGTGATGTAGATTTTACATACAAAAATATAAGGGGGGGGGGGAGGCACGAGGACTTCACAAAAATCAAAAGGAGGCGTCATGTTAAAAAGTTTGGGAACCACTGCCCTAATTGATGCACTGACTGCTTCAAGCAATGAATGAATGAAGTCTTCCCAATTGCATAAGTTGCCATTCTCAACTGCTGGCCTTTCATACATTTAGTAATATACTTGTAAAAACTTGTCCTCACTGAATACAACAATGCCAATGCACAAAGCAGTTTCTTTAACATCAATAGCAGCAAAGGAAATGGTCTTGATATAAACCAAGGCTTTACATGCAGACTGTACCTTGTGCAGTTTTCCCCAGGACAACTGTTCTGTGCTATAGGAGAGGTTTTGTTCAGAAAAAAATTCCAGTACTCCTTTTTCCACTGCTTCAATTCCAACAACTGTATGGCCAGCATCATAAAACCTGCAATCACCAAATACAGTATAAGACTCAACAGAAATGTAAGAAAATACATACAGAATTGGTATAATTCACATGACACTTCTAACAGGGTGTTTACAGATCTTATAATATGAAAAATTATCAGTGTGTGTGTGCATGCTATCTGTACATAATTATTTGCGGGTAACAAATATAATACTGTACAGTACGGGGATTTTTATTTCGCAGTCCTCTATTATTTGCGGATGACACCCTGGATGTATCCAAGAATGTCTGCGGGTAGTTTTAAAGATGCCGGCATATTCGTGGCCATGACAGGGAGCCATTCGTTCTAGACACCGTAATTTCCTTTACCTGTATTGTATGTATGTGTGTGTGTGTAGACACACACACGCAGTAGTAGTAGTGTGTACACACACACACACACACACACACATATACTGTATACAATACAGGTAAATGAAATAATTGCTCCCATTTTGAGAACCTAACCCCCACGAATTTGAAGGGCATGCTGTACAGACATCTTGCATTTTTTTTTTATTATTTCACCACTTATCAGCTTACTAGCCATTCGGGCAGTTGGTCTATCCCATGTGAGTACAATACAGGAGGAACCCGGAGTTTGGGAAACCTGCGATGTTTAGTAGGGTCACACTAGACCTTCTCACAAGTGGCCAAGCCAAGCAGGACTCACACCCTTGACATATTGGCAAGAGATATGTGTGTTACTGCTAAAACCATTACGGAAAGTTTACAGTAGTATTCTCTTCCCACAGCACAGTCCTGACAATCAGGACTTAACGGCCTCAACTCCAGGTGTACAGGGCCCAGTGTGCCGAATAAAATTGTCAAGGGTTAGCCAAACATAGTGAAGGGGTTAAGAAATCCTTGACAACTAACATACTGTATACTGTATTTGAAAAGGTCATTCAGTGAACATGTAAATCTAAAATATTTAATGAAGTGAATTTTGTGTACTAAATACAATATACATACAGTGATTCAAGGCAATCATTGCTTGTTTAAGTACTGTAATGTCCTAGTTTATATGGGCAGCTCTTTCTTTATTTTCTCCAATTTTTTTTAATTACTTCAGCTTCTGTGAACTGAGTGATGCTGTACTGTACTGTACTGTATATATCTTTGTGAAGTAGAACACATAGTTCTTCATCTCTTTGTCTATTTTAATATCCAGGAAACTTTTTTCCTGGAGGAGTGCCTCCTGTAGTAGGTGCTACAATATCACAGATTTCTCATGCACCACTTGTACAATTATTAATGGTTCTTCATTTCACAATTCAATAATATTTATCTTGGGGTACTCTCATCAGCAGTGTCATCAACCACTCCATACACACAAACACTTCTAATGAATGTAACTACAGTATATTATAGTCAAGATGAACCAACATTACTGTACCTACTTATCCGAGAGTGAAAGTCAACTGTACTATTAGGTCAGGTTATGCTTGTATGGAATAGAAGGAAGATCAGTCACTGGCTGGATAGCATTTCATCACTTTAATGTTTGGGGTTAGTCGGTTCCTGGGAAGCATTTGTCAACAGTTGAAAGTTGTGCAAAAATGGGGTCGGCAATTAAACATAGGGCACGAAGCATATTTATTTAAAGTATTAACTAAGGAAAAAAACAGAATAGGAAAAGTAAAATTCCTCAAGCAGAATTGCTTTATTCTTGAGGTAAGAAATAAATCTTCTATATATATTTTTGTTCAGTTATGTGGTTAACCCAGACCCTTGTCCTTAACTGTTAGACAAAACTTTCCTAATTTCTGGTTAATGTGGGAATGTACCCTTAAGTGTTACCCAAGTATACAATGTACAGTACTGTATATAGATGGGGTAAGTATACAATTTATGACAAAAGTTTCTTTGCATGAATCACTATTGAACCATTATTACTGTGTTAATTTAGGAGTATCATACAGGGGATACACCCCATTTCATCACCAATCCGTTTCGTCACCGACCAGGTTCGTCACCAAAACCCCATCTCGTCAACAATATCAAATCCATTTCGTCACCACTAACAGCCGCTGGTATTAGTGACAAATTGTAAGTTATTATTTTACACGAATACAAATTACACATGTATACAGACGACTCGAGAAGTATTGTGTTATTATTATACATGAATATTTATTATTTAATAAAGAAAACGATTTAAACATTGGTAACTAAACAAAATACAGAACATATGAAGGTGCTTTGGCACCATCGCATAAACCACCGAGCAGGGGGTCCGACTAATTACCCAAATGTACCCAAATGTAGCCAAATATAGCCGGAATGAAGTCAAATTATGGTCCTAGATGAATAAATCAGACTGCCAATCACTTCTCGACTAGTATTTGGTGTCGCAAAGTCACAAAAAATTGGTAAACTTAATTTTATCTGAGTTAATAGATCGAGTGCATGTACCGAGGAAGGAATTACCCAAATATCAATGAAGTCAAATTATGGTCCTAGATGAATAAATCAGACTGCCAATCACTTCTCGACTAGTATTTGGTGTCGCAAAGTCACAAAAAATTGGTAAACTTAATTTTATCTGAGTTAATAGATCGAGTGCATGTACCTAACCTAACCTAACCTCGACTAGTATTTGGTGTCATGAAGTCACAAAAAATTGGTAAACTTAATTTAATCTGAGTTAATAGATCAAGTGCATGTACCTAACCTAACCTAACCTAACACAACTCAGATTAAATTAAGTTTACCAATTTTTTTTTACTTTGACACCAAATAATAATCGAGAAGTGATTCACAGCCCGAATTACGCTTGTACGACCATAATTTGGCTACATTTGGGTAATTCCTCGCTCCCTCGGTACATGCACGCGATCTATTAACTCAGATTAAAGTAAGTTTTCCAATTTTTTGTGACTTTCTGACACCAAATACTAGTCGACAAGTGATTGGCAGTCCGATTTATTCATGTAGGACCATAATTTGACTTCATTGTGGCTATATTTGGGTACATTTGGGTAATTAGTCAGACCGACCGAGCAGTGAGCTGATTGCAGACCTATTAACAATGTTTTTATTTTTTATTTTCGACTTTAATAAATTGTCTAGTATTTTTTTATTATTTTCGATCCCAAGCAACAGTTATTTTCGTGTATATATTGATTATTGTTTAAGTTAGATGATTGCAGCCTAGTTGCTGAGCACAAGCTAAAATCGTAAAAAAAAAAATTATGACAAACAAGTCCATCTCTGGAAGCTGTGGGATGAATATGAAGCAAAAATATCACCACTTATAATAAAAAAAAAAAAAAAAAAAAATTATATATATATATATATATATATATATATATATATATATATATATATATATATATATATATATATATATATATATATATATATATATATATATATATATATATATATATATATATTAACTGTCTTCTGCCAAACTTGCATGAGTAAATTTTAGTCTTTCACATATTGTTAAAGATTGCAGGTGTGTTAATATTTTTATTTTATATTTTCGTCTTTAATAAATTGTCTTAGTGATTTGTATTATTTTCTATCCCAAGCAACAGTTATTTTCGTGTATATATTGATGTGAATGAAAGCGGTGACGAAACGAGTAAAGCAGTGGTAACGAAACGAGATGATGACGAAATGGGCAGACCCCCATACAAGACAGGCCACTCTGATTCACAGAGGCAAATCCTTACCATTTGAGGTCAACAGATTTTCCACAAAGAGGTACTAACACGCGGAGGTGAGGAGAGGGCAGCAAAAGTCCCCCGTGGTGTAGTAGCGAGTAGTTAACATCCTTGTTGTGCCAACGTGTGTTACCCTTCTCCCACCTCTCCGACCATCTTTCAACACGATCACCTGGCATCGTTCTCTCTAGCTGCACAAGATGGCAAATCTCGACAAGAGCCTTCCAAACACCTGAACCTTGTACTGTACACCTCGCACCGCCCCTCAACAGGCGCAGTCCACCATGCACCTGAACACACACAGATACTAGTTACACCCCTCTTATCTCCCCTACAATCTGATTAATATAAGTTATGTAACAATCAACCGAGTCATAATTTCAAAGTATAATGAATTTTGACATATTCTTATACTGTACTTTGCGATATTTATATGAATAAAAAATACAGTACTGTATATTGTTATTCAATAAAGATGAGAGCGTAAAATTTTTACTGTGTTGAGATAAAACGATTTGTTGCACAACCAAGGTTTTCATTTCATAATGGACTGTTGGGCCATGTTCACTAATCAACTCGAGTCTCGATTATCTGGCTTAATACTTCTTCACACAGAGAGTGGTAGACCTATGGAACACAGACCTACCACTACCCAAAGACTATGTAGTTTTTGACCACTACCAGCAGTAGCCTACCAGCTAGACAGTCGCAGATGTCGCTAAACTTTTTACTTTTTTTTACTTTTATCCTCTTCGCCACTGATCGGCTCCCTAGCCGCCCGGGCGATCGGTCACGTCTCTGTCACGCACTGTTGGCAAATACTGGGCATGCACCGGCTCCTGAATGTACCTGAACCCGCTCCAGTGTTGGTCAAGTCTTGTCTTGAAAGAGCTCACACTCGGTGCCGTCACAACACTCTCTGGTAGATTGTTCCAAGAGTTTACAACCCTCACTCCGAAAAGTTTGCCCTCACGGTTTTCTGGACTTGTGGCTTCTTCAATCTTGAGCTGTGACCCCTTGTGGGGCGAGCGTCCGCCAGCTCCAAGTAAGGACACTCAACTGAGTAGTGCCCCCTGAGATGCTTATACACCTCAACTAGGTCCCCCTTGCCCGTCTGTAGTATAAGCTAGGCAAGTTCAGGCGCTCCAATCTCTCAGGGTAGCTGAGGTGCCGAAGTGCAGGCACCAGTCTGGTGGCCCTCTGAACATTTTCAACCAACTGACAGTCCCTAGCATATCTCGGGGACCAGATGGGGTGACAGTACTCCAGATGGGGAAGCACTTCACTCCTGAAGATCGTCACGAGGAACGGACTGTCTAGATATCTGAACGACCTTCTTATAAGACCCAATAATTTATTTGCCTAATTTACCTTCTTCTCACAATGGCCCGAGAACTTCAGCTCATTGTCAACATACACACCTAGGTCCTTCTCACACACAGTCTCAACTAGTGCATTTTCTTCATCCCGTTGGGACATATGATACGCCTCCTTACTGTTGGTACGCCCCAGGTGCATCCTCTTACACTTCGTGACATTGAATCTCGGCAGCCATTTCTTCGACCATTCCTGGAGCCCACAGAGGTCCTTCTGCAGCTCTTCACAGTCCGCTTGGTTCTTAATTTCCCGAAATAACTTGGCGTCATCGGCAAACATTTGTATGGAGGAGTGTACAACGTCAGGCATATCATTTATGAAACAAACAAACAACAGCGGGCCCAATACACTACCCTGCGGTACCCCACTTGTTACAGGTACAGATGACGATTTCGTGCCATTAATCACCACACATTGCTTGCGGTCATGTAGAAAGTCTTCTATCCACGCTAGGACATTTCCCCGAATTCCGTACCCTTCCAGTTTGATTTTCAGCCTTTCGTGGGGTACACTGTCGAAAGCCTTGGCAAAATCTAGGTAAATATTGTCGATATTACCACCCCGTTCTAGAATATGGGTCCAAATATCCAATACCTTGAGCAATTGTGTTAAGCAAGAGCGCCCCGGCATAAAACCGTGTTGGCAATCTTTTACAAGGTTGTTTCGTAGTAGATGTTCCATCGCGGCATCTCTGATAATACTCTAAAGAAAAACAAAATAATAAACTAGTCAGTCACGGCCGCACCTGAAAGAAAACTACTATTTTTTCCGTATACAATGTTTGCTTTTATTATATGTAAGAGGACAATATTTACATGTTAACATAAACTAAAATCCAACAAATATTTACTCTAGTTAAGAAACATGTCTACGGTGTCTTGTTTTAACTGAAGAAAGTTTGTTTTAGGAATTATTTAAAACCTTAGGTAAGTATTGATTTTAATACCGTTACATTCTTACGTAATTGCGTGATGGTGGTCTATGAAGGTGGCTGTGTGATGGTAGTGTGATGGGGTTGTAACTTGTTTGATGATATAGTGATGGTATAGTGATGGTGGATTATGATAGTGGTCAATGATGGTGATTGTGTGATGGTATTTGCGTGATGGTGGTAATAAACATAAATGAAACGGGATGGTGGTTGTAAGTATGGGGGTAGTGCGATGGTGGTAGGTGTATTGTAAATAAGTATAGAAGTGTAAAGTAATGGTGGTCTCGATTGTTGTAATAAGGAGATTTTATTGTGTGTAAATATGGATGTAATGAGGTCTATTATACTTACTGTATAAACGGACTAAATGTGATAATGTGAGTAGGTGTGATGATATACGGAAGTGTGAGTAGTGTGATGGTGCTGACTGGGTCTAATAATGTCCCCATCAAGGCCACACACTCACCACACGTTATGTCACTCTCGCTCTTGGTAAAAATACCTGTGAGGCGGAGATGAATATAAATAAACAATTAGATATTCAGTAAAATCTTCATACGAGCTCACATTGATTCAGCGTGTAGATAGACAGTGCTGGTACACAATGTACTCCATATCTGCCACTTTAATGGCGTGGTTACAATTATCAAAGTTTAGTTACAAAGTCGAGGAAGAAATGGCAAAGTTTTAGTGACTGGTGGCAGGGCGAAGTGAGTATACTAATAAATTATGTACACACACTGAGGGTCCACAACATAGAACACGCATCGATTCACCTTTAAGTTTATCCCCAGCGTATTTCACACTAACCTAACCTATCACAAATTTACCTAACCAAACTTCCCCGGTTAACGCGAGTGTTTAATCATCAGGTGAAATGAACAGTGTCTAATGGTGAACCCTGCTGCCATATGGCATCACAAAAACTGTGACCAAGTCATAGGTTGCTGAACTGACTTTCTGCTTCATTTACTTACACACAATTGCAGGGTGTCAATTCTTTCTCTTACTTTGACAACTCAACATACATATATCATTTCTCACTCTTAATATTTTGTTCATTTTTGTATTTATTTTTTACTCATTATGATTATTATTATTATTATTATTATTATTATTATTATTATTATTATTATTATTATTATTATTATTATTATTATTTGTTATTAATATTAATATTTTCTTTTATTATAACTTATTTATATTATTTATTTTATTATTATTATTATTATTATTATTATTATTATTATTATTATTATTATTATTATTATTATTATTATTACAGTATTTTCATCATAATTATTATTGCAGCATTATCATTATTATTATTATTATTATTATTATTATTATTATTATTATTATTATTATTATTACTATTATTATTATTATTTTATTATATTTTCGCCCCCAGGCCTTGATGTAAAAAAAAAAAAAAAAAAATCTTCAAAGTGCCCCTACGCGTTGCGGAGTATAACAGTCAAATTGTTTACAGTTTGCTCAAGGCCGCCGTCTCCCCTTCTGGGTGATGCCCAGAATGAAGTATTGTCCCTTCTGTGAGTGTAACAGATCATAATAACCAAGGTAAGTTCATACAAGAAGATAAACGGTCTTTTCGCTTTCATGTACCGTGTTCTCATGCAACGTTTAGGAGGTTACTAACTGCCGTAAAGCATGATGGCTGTTGCTGGTATTGCCCTGGCTGCATAGTCAAGGTGAATGAAGCGATTGCAAGCCATAAGGGAACGAGTTCTCTAGAGACGAAAATAGATGAAGCTGGAGCCCTGCTGGTTGACAAACTGGAGCAAGTTGAGAAAGAGATCCTTGCTAAGACTGAGGAAGTAGCTAATAGAATGGAGGTGGTTGCTAAGAGGAGTTATGCTGACATATTAGCAGGGCCACGGGAGGGGGCGGAGAGTAATGCAGGATGAGAACAGGTTCTACAACAGCTTGGGACTTTGAAGAAGTGTGTCGAAGAAGTGAAAATTAACGGACCTACTGTTAGGGGAGAAGAGGAACACCAGGAACGTCTCCAGCGCAGGAACAATGTAATAGTTTTTGGAGTCCCAGAGAGCCAGGCGGAGGGAACTGTGAGTAAGGTAACACAGGATAAGATGCTGTATCAAAATATTTGTACAGAGGTTCTGAAGATTCCATCAACCCCTCAGGAAGTGAGGAGGCTGGGACAAAAGCAGGGGGATAAGCCTCGCCCCCTCAGGATCACACTAGTGAGTGAGGAGGAGAAATGGCAGGTTATTCGGCAGGCAAAAAACTTAGCAAGGAGCGAGGCATTTCGAGATGTATTCATTCACCCAACCGCACGGTAATGCAGAGGGAACAGCACAAGAAACTCCTGCAGGACTTGAAGCAGAAGAGGGAAGAGTCGAGGAGGAACGGGGACAGGTGTACATGGGTTATACTCAGGGGGAGGGTAGTGGAAACAAGTGTGCCGACACAGGGCCAGGGGGCAGCAGTGCACCCTCCACCCACTCAACCCCCCACCCGGGAGGCGGCACCAGCTCAGCCTACCGGACAGGAGGGAACGAGCGCCGTGTAAACAATGACATTTCTAACCACACCCTGCAAAATACAGTGTACTTAGCAAATGCTGCAGCTTCTGAGAATGTGGGGGGAGCGGGTTTATTACTAAGAGCAGAGACGTTACCGAGAACAAATTCTGGCTTGAATGTCATGTACACTAATACTGACACGTTCCTTGATAAGAGAGAAGAGTTTGAAACACTACTAAGAGTACACCAACCAGATATTGTAGGAGTTGTAGAACTGTTGTACAAGAACAGGAGAATCGACCCAGAGGAATGTGAGTTCAGTATTGCTGGATATGACTCATTTACGAACCTAACTCAAGAATCCTGCAGGAGGGGTGTGGTTATCTACGCTAGGCAAGACCTTAGAGCCAGCCAGGCGAGGGTACAGGGAGAGGATGTCTTTGAAGAGTCCAAGTGGTGTAAAATTAAATTAAAGGGAGGGGACTTACTTATCGTCTGGTGTATCTACA